TCCCGCCTTAGACATGAAAGCTGGTTGGGTGACTTTGTGCCAATCACCAGGAGACTGTGAGTTCTAGTCCTGCCTTAGGAATGAAAGCTGGATGACTTTCAGCCAATCACCAGGAGATGCTGAGTTCTAGTTCTGCCTTAGGCATGAAAGCCGGTTGGGAGACTTTGGGCCAATCACTAGGAGACTGTGAGTTCTAGTCCTGCCTTTGCTATGAAAGCCAACTGGGTGACTTTGGGCCAACCACCAGGAAATGGTGAGTTCTAGTTCCACCCAAGTCATGAAAGCCATCTGGTTGACTTTGGGCCAGTTTATCGCTCTCAGCTCAACCTACCTCACAGCGTTATTGTTAAGAGGAAAATAGGCCGAGGAAGGAATATTAGATATATTCGCCACCTCGAGCTGTTCATAAAAATAGTAAAGGTAGGTTATCAATAAACAAAATCAAAATAAACTTTCTTAACAAGCAAGGACAAGGTTCCCCAACCCGTGTTGGTGCCTGCATGAGAAAAAAAAAAAAGGCATGGATGGTTGTGAGACCTCCAGCGCACGCTGTGGATGGACAATGGCCTGGCCAGACTTACGTGTCGCTCCAGGGGCCGTTCCACTCTCGCTCCCCCCACGGATTCCGCAACCGGATCATGTCCAGCTTTTCGGATTTGAAGAAGGCCAGCAAGCCATGGCCAAGGCGGACTTTCTGGACGTTGGTGACTGCGTAGGCGTGGCCTTTGACCAGGCCACAGTCCAGCCGGGCTTCCATATCAGCAGCTGACACGGCCTTGGAAAGAGAACGCAGGAATTTGCTGTTTTAGGGGCAGAAAACCAGTTAATTCAAACTTGATCTTGAGATGCTGGTCAAGAAACTCTGGCAAGGATTTTCCACTCCTCCACATGCCATAGAATTCTCCCTATGCTTCCAGGCAGTGGTGAGATCGAAATAATTTTAACAACCGGTTTTCTGCTCTCATGATTTCTTCCGACAACCGGTTTGCCAAACTGCTCAGAAAGTTAACAACCGGTTCTTGTGAACCGGTGCGAACCGGCTGAATCCCACCACGGCCTCCAGCCTCGAAATATTTGGTCCTCGACAATCTGGAACTGTGCCGCCTGTGGTCTGATCTAGGCATAGTTCACAAAATTGCCTGCTACAACCATCTTGCCCATCATTGACTTCTTCAGCTTCAACCACAATAACTGTTGTGGTTAGCCGGCAGCAGGTGCTGACGGTGGAGGAGAGCGAGGACTCAGATGAGGGGCCAGGACCATCAGGGAGTGGACTGCTTTCCTTCAGGGATTGTGAGGGCTGGCAGCAGTGATGAGGAGGTTCCCGAGGAGCCTGTGCCAAGTGCGCGTGAGCGCAGGGTGATTCGTAGAACGGAAAAGCTGGAGCAGCACAGGCGACTCGGGAGTAAGGGTGCAACGTAATGGCCCCTCCCTCCAGGGAATATAAGCCTGGTTGCAAAAGGTTTTTGCTTTTGCAGAAAGCAAAAACATTCTAAGGACTCAGCATTGTGTGTGGAGACTCTGGCTTATCTGAAGAATTCTGTCAAGGCTTTTCTGCTTGGACTAATTGGCTGCAAGCCATTTTTTTTTATCTACAAAGAAGTTATTTGTAGATTAAAGCTGAGAAGGTTTGAGTTGCTGCGTTTGTTTGAGATTTTCTTGCTGGTAACAGGGTTGGGTCAGAACAATAACACATGGGCAAACAACGGATACAAACTCAAGGTAAACCGCTCCAAACTCGATTGCAAAAAATATGACTTCAGCAACAGAGGGGTAGACCACACCTAGAGTCCTGCATCCAGTTTTGGTCACCACACTATAAAAAAAGATGTTGAGATTCTAGAATTCTGACATATGGCAGTCCAGCCTCTTTAAAGCTTCCAGTGGTGAAGCTCCCACAACTTCTGAAGGCAACTTCTGTTCCATGGGTTGATTGTTCTCACTGTCAGAAAGTTTTTCCTTATTTCCAGGTTGAATCTCTCCTTGGTCAGTTTCCATCCATTATTCCTTGTCTGGCCTTTGGGTGCTTTGGAAAATAGCTTGACCACTTCCTCCTCTCTGTGGCAGCCCCTCAAATATTGGAAGACTGCTATCCTGTCTCCCCTGGTCCTTCTCTTCACTAGACTAGCCAGGCCCAGTTCCTGCAACTGTTTGTTGTATGTTTTAGCCTCCAGTCCCCTCATCATCCTAGTTGCTCTTCTCTGTACTTTTTCTAGAGTCTCAACATCTTTTTTGTAGTGTGGTGACCAAAATTGGATGCAGGCTTTATAAAATTGGTCTTACTAAGGTTTATAGAGTGCTATTAGTACCTCCCTTGATCTTGATTGTACCCCTCTGTTAATGCAACCTAGTGATTTGTATTCATCAAGATCAGACGGGTGTTCTTTTACTATTTTTTGGCTTATTTTAATTTTTATTTCTAGTTTGTTTTTTACAGTTGTGTTTTTGGTAGGTTGGGCTATGGCTGTGTGTCTGTGTGTACACTGACTAGACCTGCTTACTTTGATGGAGCAGCTAATGAGGCCTCCTCGGTTATAGACCTTCAGCACTCGCTCAAAAAGGAGGTTTCGTTTGGCTTCATCGTTGGCATAGCCTCCTTCGACCAGGTCAATCGGTTCCGAGACCCCCCCAGTAAAATCCACCAAGGCATCGCCCGTGTTGCCTCCGTCTAAGGCTTCGTAGCATCCCGAGATCCTACGGGTAGAACAAGAAAGAGATCTTCCGTTTGTACAACATGTTCTACGGGTGGCACTTACCCACCTGCTAGATTAGCAAAAAATGTTCCCAAACAAATCATCCGAGGGTTGGAAATGAAACAAAAGCAAGGAACATATTGCCACGCGTGGTGGACATGCCCTGTAGTGAGAAAATATTGGATAAGGACCAAAAAAAAATAATGGATAGAAGAAATAATTAAACAGCAAATTGAATTAAGACCTGAGACTTTTCTATGAGGTATAATAATGGGAAAATAGGATAAGAAAACAAGAGTATCTAATGCTACATTTATTAACAGCAGCAACAATAACTTACGCACAGAATTGGAGAAATGATAGTATGTCACCAGAGGAAAATGTGATAAGAAAAATACTAGAGCCATGATGGCGAATCTATGGCACGTGAGCTGCAGGCAAATTTACCTCACTGTGCATGCGCACACCTCACAGCTGATTTTTCGGCTGGTTTGAGGCCTTTTTCGGCCTCCCAGAGGCTTGAAAAAAGCCTCTGTAGGCTTTGCAGGACGAATAATAGGCCCGTTTCATCACTTCCTGTAATATCACTTCCTGTATATATATATACCCCTCTCTTCCTTCTAGCACTGATGGTGTTACCTACTTTGGTAATGAAACGTCCGCAGGCCAACCACCAAACCCAGAGGGAACCAAGATTTGCACCAACAGCTTGTTTGGCGCTCCTGACATCAGTGCATAATCAGGAAGCCAGAACCACATAGAATTTTATTAAAAACTGCTGGTGACCTTCTACTGCCGCATCATAGAGAGTATCTTAACTCACTACACCCCTGTAGGGTTTGCCAACTGTACAGGGGCAGATAGGAAAGCACTCCAGTGGGTTAACATCATTGCCCAGAGGATCATGGGTTGCCCTCTCCCCTCTTTGGAAGAGCCTTAAGAAAGTTCAAAACATTCTCAAAGATGCATCTCATCTTGGGCACCCCCCTTATTTTTTTTTTTGAACTATTGCCATCTGGCAGACGGTACAGGACAATAATAAAAACAAGGACAAATAG